TTGGGAATTACTGTTTGATATTTCTGTATGCAACATAGATATAAGTCATACTACATTTATTCAAAGTCTGGACTCTGAAGGAACTTTAAAAATCCTTGATGAAATTTTTCTCTGTTAATGGCATGCTCCTATTCATCAAAAATTTTCATAAGGTAAACGCCAGTCATTACAGATGTCCACATGTGCAAGGAACAGTACAGTCTCCTTTTGAGATGGAGCCCCGCTCTATCTTGCCTAGGCTGGAGTGCAGTGGCACCATCTTGGCTCACTGCAGCCTCCACCTCCCAGGTTCAAGTGATTCTCCTGTCTCCGCCTCCCCAGTAGCTGGGACTACAGGTGCACACCACCACATCTAGCTAATTTTGTATTTTTAGTAGAGAAGGGGTTTCACCATGCTGGCCAGGCTGGTCTTGAACTCCTGACCTTACCAGGCATTGTGGCTCACGCCTGTAATCCCAGCACTTTGGGAGGCTGAGACGGGCGGATCACCTGAGGTCAGGATTTTGAGACCAGCCTGACCAACATGGAGATAGTCCATCTCTACTAAAAATACAAAAATTAGCCAGGCTTGGTGGTGCATGCCTATAATCCCAGCTACTCAGGAGGCTGAGGCAGGAGAATTGCTTGAACCGGGAAGGTGGAGGTTGTGGTGAGCTGAGATTGCACCATTGCACTCCAACCTGAGCAACCAGAGCAAAACTCCATCTCAAAAAAAAAAAAAAACAACTCCTGACCTCAGATGATCCACCTGCCTTGGCCTCCCAAAGCGCTGAGATCACATGTGTGAGCTACTGCATCCAGCCACTCCTATTTAAAAAAAATTTTTTCCATCCTAGAACTTCCCCATGCAATTATAATAGGAATTAAAACAAAAACTATAAGGATGTTCAAAGCTTCCCTAGCCATGCTAGCAATGAGATGACGATAAATCCAGGGTTAGGCTTCACTAGCGATCAGGACTCTGGAAATACTGATGCCAAATGGAGAGGCAAGTGGGCGGTGCACTGTGGTTCCGTGTTTTTCCTGTTATTCGTGAATTTAAGGGCAAAGGAGCACACTCAACTCTGCCTGTATGTCGTCTGCCTGAACACTGCAAATCAGCAATGTCATCTTGCCTGACATGTTTGATCCAACTCAAGGAAGGACAGTTCCACTAACAAATCTGAACAATAGCTGTGCTTGAGATAAGGTGGTAAGTTCAGTGTACAATTAGTTTTGAGACTGCACTTTTGTGGTTGGAATTTTGGAAACATGCCCCCTAGAAGCTGTGCTCACTACGTTTTCCAAATTTTAAATTTAGAATTTAAGAACATATTCCAATTTTTATTTACTTTTGCTGTCGTGGCCCCTTTGGAGGCAGTTAGACGCCCCCTTCTTGGGCTGCAGTCCCAGGCCACTGAGAGTGACTCTGTGGCTTTCAATAGAGCAGGGCTTCCTCTGAACGGAGGACTTGAGTGAAGACTAGGAAAAGATGGGGGTGGGAAGGAGGGTGGGCAGGGGGTGGGGTGGGTGCTATTTGTTTTTTTTTTTTTTTTTTTTTTTTTGAGACAGAGTTTCGCTCCTGTTACCCAGGCTGGAGTGCAATGGCGCGATCTCGGCTCACCGCAACCTCCGCCTCCTGGGTTCAGGCAATTCTCCTGCCTCAGCCTCCTGAGTAGCTGGGATTACAGGCACGTGCCACCATGCCCAGCTAATTTTTTGTATTTTTAGTAGAGACGGGGTTTCACCATGTTGACCGGGATGGTCTCGATCTGTTGACCTCGTGATCCACCCGCCTCGGCCTCCCAAAGTGCTGGGATTACAGGTTTGAGCCACTGCGCCCGGCCGGGGTGGGTGCTATTTCAATGCCTTTCTTCCTCAAGGTGCCCCTTCTTCTTGCTGGCCTCTGCCTTTTGTCTCTGGAAATGAGAGAAACCTTTCCATCGTCCCTCCACAGGGATAAAGGCTTGGGGTGGGGGTGGAGGTCCCACTTGTTCTTCCATCTTTTCTGTCTCTGTCTGGGGGAGGTGGAGGTCCCGAGGTGGGAGGAGGAAAGAGCAGGCTGAGGAAAGGTATAGAAAGGGGTTTTCCCTCCCACCTCCCCCGTTTCCCTCTACCACTGCAGGGATGGTGGCCACAGACTGTGCAGGCTGGTGTCAGGCTAAGGTGACAAGTGTGCCTGGGTGGAGATGGGGGAGGGAGGGGGCTTTCTGGAGGCACCTGGCCAGGCAGTCATGTGCGGAAGATTGTCACCCTGAGATCCACTCTGCATCCCCAGGGGGTGGCAGGTTAGAAGGGGTGCAGCATCAGACTGCTGGGGTCTGCTACCACACGGCACTAAACACCCACAGCCTTTTCAACTCCATTTCTCCAAAATGTAGAAATGGAATGCCCTTTTCCATTTCCCCACAGTGAATTCTGGGCTAATAAGTGAGAATGTGTCGCACGTAGCTTAATGAGGAGGTGAGACATTAAATCCAATTCGTAGATGGCGAGAACTCCTAATGGCTTCTGTGTAGTGCCTGGAACCTGGCTGACAAAAATGTTTAATCACTGCCTCACCAAGCACTAATTTGCCAACGAATCTATTTTTTAAAATCTCAACACTTTATTAGTGGTTGTTACTTTCAACATATCTGGTGATAAATCTGACATTTATCTCATAAATCTGACAAGAGAAGAAGAGGTAGGCGAGAGCAGCACTAAATCAGAAGTGATAAGTATGTCTCTACGACAAATTTTGCTAGTTTGGAGATTACAGTGGATGGCGAGGCTGACTTCATGTGTTAGCTGCCTAATGGAAACCACTGTAATCGTTAGTGGAAAAAAATATGGTGGTTTAGAAAGTAACTTTCTTTTCAGTTAATCTCAATCTTTCTGTTGCACTGAATCAGTGTTACTCATCATTTTTTGCTTATTTTAATCAGAGACTTATACAGAATCCTTCCAAACTGAACTAAGTGTCTTAATTTTCTAAGCCTATAATCAAAATCAAATAGCACTTTCATGGAATTGCCAGTCAAACCAAGGCTCTGCCTTTTATCTTTTTCCCCCAAAATAACCTAGAAAATCTGACCTTTGCAATAACAAACCCCCATGCCCCACACTTTCCTTTCTCTAATACCATCAAATAAGAACATTAGATATTCTTTGAACCAAATTTTTCATTTGTTTAAAATCCTTTAAAGTTGGGATTTGAAGGAATCCCTTCCCTCCCAGTGTCCACGTAAAGACTCCCTTTTCTTGGCTAAACTGCTGTGTGGTGAGATGGGGTCTTGTTTTAAGCTGGGCTACCAGGAGCTGGAGATGGTTACATTTCACCAATAGGTTACAGGATTTTCATTTATTTCTTAACTGAGCTTTCTCTCAGGGGTGAAGCACTCAGCCTTATGTACAGGATGAAAAAGTAAATATTACATTAATTTTATTATGAATTATTATTTTGAGACGTAGTCTCTCTTTGTTGCCCAGGCTGGAGTGCAGTGACGCAATCTCAGCTCACTGCAACCTCCACCTCCTGGGTTCAAGCAATTCTGGCACGTCAACCTCCCGAGTAGCTGGGATTACAGGCGCCCACCACCATGCCTGGCTAATCTTTGTATTTTTAGTAGAGACAGGATTTTGCTGTGTTGGCCAGGCTGATCTCAAACACCTGACCTCAAGTGATCCACCCACCTCAGCCTCCCAAAGTGCTGAAATTACAGACGTGAGCTGCCACGCCTGGCCTAAATATCACGTTAAATTTTTTAAAGTCCGGAGTAACCAAAGGGGATTTGGAGTACTCTCTTTGTCAACCACTATTCCCATGGCCTTTATTACCCCCTACTTCCTGTTTTCCCAATAACCATCAGTTTCTGTATGTCTTTTTTAAAATACTTGAGCAAATGACATTACGGATAGTCCACAGATTATAAACATATTTGCATAAAGAAGATCGGGCAGGTGTTCTGAAGAGTATCACAGTATAATACCAGCATCCTGTTAATTCACCCAGGTACTTTATAACAATAAACCAACAAGACAGGTTCAGTTCTCATTGCTGTTTTCTTTCTTTCTTTCTTTTTTCTCATGGGTCACTGAGGCTTTTTTTTATTTTGAGCACAAAATCACTGGGGATCTTGCCTGTGGCCACCCTGGAGATGACCCTGGAGGCTCACATGTGTTGGTGGGAAGTGAGGCGAGAAAAACAATGATGCGGGCCAGTTACATGACTGCAAAGCGAGGGCTGCCAACAGGGCTCCAGGGAGCTTGGCTTCTGTAGACATTCTAAGGAAGCGGTGCGAACTCCATGGCGGTGGGCGAGGGGAGCTAACTAGCAGGGGTCCCTGCCAGTGTTGGTTGGGAGCCTCAAGCTGCCCAAGCTGACACGAGGAGAGGGGTCTAATTAGGTAACAGGTAACTGAAGGGCTGGCCTCCCCACAGCTTACTTGGCCAGGGGGTTTCTGAAGTTCCTGCCAGCAAACAGCCTTGCTGCCCAGCTCCTCTTCAGTTCTGAGGAGCAGGTTGTACTTGGCCAGGCGTTCAGATTGGCAAGGGGCACCAGTCTTGATCTGCCCAGTGCACAGCCCCACCACCAGGTCCATGATGAAGGCATCTTCGGTCTCCCCAGAACAGTGAGACACCATGACACTCCAACCACTGGCCTGGGCCAGCTTGCACCTGAGGGGACTCGGTCATGGAGCCAATCTAGTTGACTTTGAGCAGGAGGCAGTGCCACGACTCGTCATTCGTGGCCTTGGCAATCCTCTTTGGGTTGGTCGCTGTGAGATCGTCCTGCACTACCTGGATTCCTGCACTGGCCGCGAACTTCTGCCAAGCTCCCCAGTCATCCTGGTTAAAGGGGTCTTCAATAGACGCCACTGGATAGTCCTTGATGAAGGACTTGTACAGGTCAGCCAGCTGGTCAGGTGAGATGTACCTGCTGGGGTCATCGGAAGACTTGAAGTCCAGGTCGTACTTCCCAGACCTGAAGAACTTGGAGGCCACTATGTCCAGGTGGATGACCACCTTGTCCGTGTAGCCAGCTTTCCCACTCGCAGGCTTCAGCAGCTCCAGGCCTTCTTTATTCTTCAGGACATTGGGAGCAAACCCGCCTTCAGCCCCTACATTGGTGTCTTTCCCATGTTTCTCCTTGATGGCGTTCTTCAGGTTGTGGTAACCTCCACTCTAGTGTGCATGGCTTCCCTGAAGTTTGTGGCACCCACTGGGAGGATCATGAACTCCTGCATGGCCAGCTTGCTGCCAGCATGGAACCGCCATTGATGGCACTGAATGCCAGGACTGGCACGATGACTTTGGAAGTGCCAGCCAAGTTGGCGATGTGGTGGTACAGGGGAACCCCTTTGTCAACAGCACCAGCTTTGCAGACAGCGAGGGACACCCCCACAATGGCATTCACGCCAAGCTTAGATTTATTTTCTGTTCCATCCATCTCGATCATCAGTATGTCAATCTTCTCTTGGTCTGTGACGTTCAGTTTCTTGCTAAACAGGGCAGGTGCAATAGTTTTATTGATGTGCTCAACAGCCTTTGAGACACCCTTCCCCATATAGCGAGTCTTAGCATGTCCCAGAGCTCTAGGGCCTCCTCATAGATACCAGTTGAAGCACCACTGGGCACGGCAGCTCTGAAGAGACCTTTTGCAGTGAAGAGATCAACCTCAACAGTGGGATTCCCACGAGAGTCAAAGATCTCCCTGGCATGGATCTTGAGAATAGACATGGTGAATTTCTAGCTTCTGGTTCTCATTGCCTAGGAGAAAAGCAGAGGGTGTTGCAGACACCAAGGGGAGTGTTCCTCATGGCTGTTTGCTTTGAAACTGTGGGAGTGGCACTGATCAGGAGGGATGTTACATATAATGTTGTGTGTATGTCTGGGGCTCTCAACAGTCTCGGGACCTATTTAAATCTTTAGCCGTATTTCAGGGAGAGGATCATTTTATTTTCATCATGGCATGAATCCATTCCGATTGTAGGACTTTGGCCCTTACAGCAGACTAGAAAATATCTTTTCCTAATTCCAGATTCAAATATTAAATTAAAACAGATGTGCAAAAATAAACAGAGATCCGCCACCAAAACAAGCTACCCCTCCACGAAACCGCCAACTTTGGGGAAAACCAGTGTCCACCGTTTCATGTCATTATCCTAAACTCTTACAAAAGAACTGATTCACATTCCTTCTTGACTCATGGTTGTTTCAACGTCCAAAGAGGCCAAGGACGGAAAAAGAAGCGCTCTAGAAGTGCCTGGAATGGTCTCCACGCTCCCGCTTGGGCCACTCCTCTTCCACCCACCTGCGCAGAACCTTCTCCACGTCGGCCCTGTGATAGAGCCTGCAGAGCTCCATCAGCTGGCACACCGTCCTCTGACTGTTCCGGAGCAAGAACTCCAAGGTGGGGCTCTGTGGCCTCTGCTCCAGGAAGCACAATTCATCATAGGGCATCCCCCATTTGCTTGCAAAATTCCTCCAGTTTTTCACTGTTGGGTGACATGGATCCAGCTTTATCCTGATCACATCTAATAGGTCCTGATCATTGAGCAAGTCACTGATGGTGGGGGCCCGGAGCAGGCAGGAGGAACAAGTACAGTTTTCTTTGCAGGAGTTGTCCTTGCTGATCTCTGCAGGGAGAAACAATATGGTCCATAGGTCAACAAGGAGCCTACCATATGTATTCATTTCTTACATCATTTATTTTCCTGCTGAATTGTCAAAAGCATCATATGGAAGACTGTTTCAGAATACTCATTTCTAATAATGTGTTACTCTTTTTTATTTTTTTGAGAAAGGGTGTCACTCTGTTGCCCAGGCTGGAGTGCAGCGGCATGATCTTGGCTCACTACAACCTCCGCCTTCCAGGCTCAAGTGATCCTCCCACCTCAGCCTCCCAAGTGCGTGGGACTACAGCCATGATGTACCACCAAACTTGGCTAATCTTTTTTTTTTTTTTTTTGTAGACATGGGGTTTCACCATGTTGCCCAGGCTGGTCTTGAATTCCTGGACTCAAGTGATCTGCCTACCTTGGCCTCCCAAAGTGCTGGGATCACAGGCATGAGTCACTGCACCTGGCTGTGTTATTTTCTATAGCCAAAGATGGGTTGCTTTGCTGGAAAGAGTAAGAGTTTTTAAATCCAGTTTCTCTTTCTTTCCAAGACTATGTCTTACAGTGTGCACTGATGACACTGCTGGCCAGAATAAGGGCTCCAGCCAACAGCACTGTCTCTGGGGCACAGGGGTCCAGTGGGGGCCAGACTCCGCAGTGCCCGTGAGTAACCAGCTCACACTTGCATGTGCCTCCACACTGGCCCCTTCCAAGTGACCCGTCAGCCCTGACAGTTTAACACCAAACACTGCATGTCAGGGTGTAAAAAAACTGCACAATTCTTTGAAAGGTCTTTTTTAAAAAAACAACACAGACATGAAAACTGGAATATCCACTCCATATGCACATTTGAAAACAAGTGATAGTTGATAGTGCCAGAAATCTTACTTTTTGAATTTACAACCCCCTTATCAGCCCTGTGCCTTTACCTATGTTTTCTTTACCCATGGCTCCCTTTGAAGTGGAGTCAACACCCTGAGGTGTGTGCATTGGGATGGAAAGAGGCAGAGAACCCAGCAGGAGGCTTTTCAGCTGAGCTTCAGCATGAAGAGCATGCTGCCACCCCAGAGGAAGGGCAGCCGTTCTACCGAATCTTTCTTTTTTTTTTTTTTTTTTTTTGAGACGGAGTTTCACTCTTGTTGCCCAGGCTGGAGTGCCATGGAGCGATCTTGGCTCACTGCAACCTCTGCCTCCCAGGTTCAAGTGATTCTCCTGCCTCAGCCTTGGAGTAGCTGGGATTACAGGTGCCCACGACCACACCAGCTAATTTTGTACTACCTTTAGTAGAGATGGGGTTTAGCCATGTTGGTCAGGCTGGTCTCGAACTCCTGACCTCAGGTGATCCACCCACCTCAGCTTCCCAAAGTGCTGGGATTACAGGTGTGAGCCACTGAGCCTGGCCCCTACTGAATCTTAAAGACTCAGTCATCCGTGTCCTCATTGTATTAGCAGGAGGCATGTACTCACATGCCTTTGTCCTACTCAGGAGGACAAAGTCCGTAGCTGAAAGGTATTGATAAGTCATTTGTAATAAAGTATTAAGTGGTGTCTAAATAACATGGCAAGTTAAGCAGCTTAAATTCTAGAACACTGAGTCTCATGAGACATTTGAATTCAGATTTTAACAGCCAAAGTCCACTTTAGAGATCACCGGCTTGGAAAATTCTGGGGAAGGTTATGATGACCTTTACTACATATATGACATTGAGTTATGGCCTTCCCAGTTTGGGAAAGTAAAGAATTTGGACTGAGGGAGTAACTCTGGTGACCATACGGTAGCAAACCAGCCATCTTGAGGCAAATGTAAATTAAAAGGTAATAAAACAAGAGCCATGAAAATGATGCTCATACTCTTTGACCTACTCATGTGACTTCTGGGAATCCAGCCTAAGGAGATAATCCAAAATATGTATTTACATAAACAATGTTATCACGGTGTTATTACATTATTAAGTTTCAAAAACAACCAAAATGTCTAAAGTTAGGGGACTAGTGAAATAAATGGTTGTACTACTCGATGGAATATTATTTAAGTAACTATGAAGACAGTATAACAACCTAGAAAATGTTTGTGACGTGAAAAGTGCAAGATGGAAAGAATGTATGAATTCTATGACTAGAACTACATGAAAATCAATGAGCATGTAAAGAAAGTGTGATTATATATATATGTTAGAATCATATATATATATATATATATATATATGATGGAATACTACTCAGCCATTCAAAAGGAATGAATTAATGACCTTTGCAGTAACCTGGATGGAATTGGAGACTACGATTCTAAGCGAAGTAACTCAGGAATGGAAAACCAAACATCATATGTTCTCACTCGTAAGTAGGAGCTAAGCTATGAGAATGCAAAGGCTTAAGAATGACACAATAGACTTTGGGAACTCAGGGGGAAAAGTGGGGAGTGGGTGAGGGATAAAAGACTACAAATTGGATGTCGTGTACACTGAGTGATGGGTGAACCAAAATCTCAGAAATCACCACTGAAGAACTTACTTATGTAGCTAAATACCACCTGCTCCCCAATAACCTATGGAAATAAAAAAGAAAAACACCCCAGGGAAAAAAATTTCTCCCTGACCAGTCATGGAGGCTCACACTTATAATCCCAGCAATTTGGGATGCTGAGGCAGGAGAATTACTTGAGCCCAGTAGTTCGAAACCAGCCAGCCCAACATAGTGCGACCCTGTCTCAGCTGCTCAGGAGGCTGAAAGGAAGAATCGCTTGAGCCCAGGAGATTGAAGCTGCAGTGAGCCGTGATCGTGCTACTGCACTCCAAGATGTTAGGTTTTAGATTTATTATTTATTTAGAGAGAGAGCCTCGCTCTGTCACCTATCGTGGAGTGCGGTGGCACAGTCATGGCTCACTGCAGCCTCTGCCTCCCGGGTTCAAGCAATGCTCCCGCCTCAGCCTCCTGAGTAGCTTCGACCACAGGTGCGCACCACCAGGCTAATTTTTTTGATTTTTTTGGTAGAAATGGGGGGGGGGGGGTCTCACTATGTTGCCCAGGCTGGTCTCAAGCTCCTGGACTCAAGCAATCTACTAACCTCACCTTCCCAAATTGTAGGGATTACAGGTGTGAGCCACCACACCCAACTAGTTTTATTTTTTGAAGAAGGCAGGGGAAGAAAGAGGCCCCAAGCCATCTCCCAGCTAGCCTCCTCTGCTGCTCCTCACTGCCCACTCCTCTCCTAGAACGCGGAGCTCAGTCCAGCCTCAGGAGCTTTGCCCCAGCAAGTTCCTGTTCCTGGGACCCCCCTGCCTTAGATCTCCACAGGCTGGGTCCTTTGCATTGTTAGGGTCTCACTGCCCCTTCTGAACTAAAATGGCACCCTCCCCCTGCCAGGCTTAATCCCATGACCCTGGCTTATCTTCCCCGGGCACCTACCACCATATGAAATGACTTACTGATTTTCTGTTTATTATTTTTCTCTCCCAACTAGAATATAAGCTGCCAGAGGACAAGAACTCTTGGATGTCTGGTGTCACTGCTGCATACCAGGCACACAGCAGGTGCTTAATAAACATTTGATGAATACATCAAATGAATGAGGAGAGTGACATAGTTAAAAAAAAATCAAATTAGAAATTGGGCTTCTTGGCAGCCCAAGAAGAGCTCTCTAGCTAGAAATTTTCAAACCAGCGGACACAAGTTTCTTTGGTGTTAACAAGGCGGCCGCAAGATTGCTATGGAGAAGGAGGACTCTGTGTACCATGGAGAGTAACGGCATGAGCTTTAGAGGCGGCTAACCCTGTGCAGATGTGCGACTTGGACAGGTTACTGAGCTTGCTAAGCCCCTGTCTCACTCCCCAAACAGGGATAATGACACCTCTCCCACAGGTGGTTGTGAGGATTAAATGAGATAATCCTTTAAAGCTCCCATTTTAGCACACAGTAAGAAGCATGCAGCAATGAACAGAATAGCTGTGAGGAAGCATTAATAGCCAACAGCCTTTTTCAGGAGAATTGCTTGAGCCTGGGAGGCGGAGGTTGCAGTCAGCTGAGATTTTGCCACTGCACTCCAGCCTGGGCGACAGAGTGAGACCCTGTCTCAAAAAAACCAAACCTTTAAGAAAGGTTTTTAAAAAGGTCTTTTAAAAAGTAGTGGTCTGGCTGGGCGTGATGGCTCACACCTGTAATCCCAGCACTTTGGGAGGCTGAGGTGGGTGGATCACCTGAGGTCACGAGTTCGAGACCAGCCTGGCCAAGATGGTGAAACCCTGTCTCTACTAAAAATACCAAAAAATTAGCTGGATGTGGTGTCGTGGGAGCACAAACCCATAATCCCAGCTACTTGGGAGGCTGAGGCAGGAGAATCACTTGAACCTGGGAGGCGGAGGTTGCAGTGAGCTGAGATCGTGCCATTGCACTCCAGCTTGGGCAACAAGAGCGAAACTCAGTCTCAAAAAAAAAAAGCAGTGGTCCTCAACCTTGGCCACAGGATAGACCTCCCCACCTCCACCCCACCAAACCCCCAAGGAAATTTACAAAACCCTGATATCTCGTCCTGCCCTCAGAGATCCTGATTAATTAGTCTGGGATGCAGGGAGGACATGCGAGTTTTTAAAAGCTCCCCTGGGACGTCTAATGTGCAGCCAGGACTGAAAACCTCCGCCTGCCTTGAAGACATCTCCAGACTAAGTATTTAGTCAGGAGCGCCTGCCAGAATTAGATTTTGGAATTACACCCACTTCTCTTTGAGAGATGCCATGTCTGTTGTGTGATTAAGAGTTCTCGGATACACAGTGTTTCCCACACTCACAAGCAGATGAGTGGGTTTTCCATGGGGCGTTTCTCCCCATCATTTCTCACTCACATATTTTAAAATTATACTGTAAAGAAGAGTTTAGGTATCAAGCATGCTCATCGATGTCATTTAAAACACTTGTAAAAAAAAAAAACAACAGTGAATGTCTGGTAGTGCCTGTATCCAAGTTGTAAGTTCATGGCTGGAGGGTTATAAAATATGGGTCAATTAACAGTTAATTGTGAATTGGAACAAGATTTAGAATTCACAAACGTCACGATTAGCTGAGCGTAGAAACCGCTCCAGCCAGGATGTTGGCAGCAGATCACAGGTTGACTTAATGTGCCTCCCTGCAGGGGAAGTGCTCTTTCATCTTGCACACTCTGGCTTTGGAGAGCAATTGCCACAGAAGTGTTCCCCTCCACTGCTCCAAGAGGTCTGTTAGCTCTCAGATCATTTGTAAGGGTGCTCCCCAGGATAACCAGGTCTTCAGTTAGTTCAAAACAATTAGAGAATAATCATTTTATATTGGCAACTTCAGAGATAGCGAAGTATGTGGTTCTGAAATAAAATAACTCTGTCCCAGGTGGTTCTACGTGATCGGATTTGGAGCCTACAAAATGCCAACAAGTATTGAAGCAGAGTCACATACTTCTGCAGTCACAGTCATGGGGGTACAATCATGCCTTTTTTTTTTTTTTTTTCTGTGTGTGGTTTCCAATGTGGTTGAAAATAAACATATTTAAAATACCAGTTTCTGGCTTTGATATATCACTGGAATTTGGGGCGCGCACACGCACGCGCACACACACACACACACACACACCCCACATTATTCATCAGAAGAGTTTCATGTTAGCAGCTTTTGGAAAGTGACGAAAAATTATTTTTATCTACTAAGAAGCTGACCCAAGGGCTTTTGGTGGGCGTTTGATCTCTTAACCAAAGGGGAAAAACAACATAATTTTGCTTTCTCTAAAGCATCCTTTTAAGGAGACATTAAGTCGGCAGCAGCACCAGGGAACCTAACTGACACGTCGGGTGGATCCAGGCAAGTAAATCATGTTGGGCCTCAATTTGTCATCGAACAAAATTGGAGTAGAGAAGGCACATGAAAAAAAGCAGCAAACTCTCACATACAAAAGGGTCTAGGTTGGGCTGGGTGCAGTGGCTGAGGCCCGTAATCCCAGCACTTTGGGAAGCCGAGGCGGGCGGATCACTCGAGGTCAGGAGTTTGAGACCAACCTGGCCAACATGAGGAAACCCCATCTCTATTAAAAATACAAAAATTAGCTGGGCATGGTGGTGCGCACCTGTAGTCCCAGCACTTCGGGAGGCTGAGGTGGGTGGATCACCTGAGGTCAGGAGTTCGAGACCAGCCTGGCCAACATGGCAAACCTCGTCTCTACTAAAAATACAAAAATTAGCCATCATGGTGGCGGGCGCCTGTAATCCCAGCTACTCAGGAGGCTGAGGCAGGAGAATTGTTTGAACCCAGAGGGCACAGGTTGCAATGAGGTGAGATCTCACCACTGCACTCTAGCCTTGGCAACAACAGTGAAACTCTGTCTCAAAAAAAAAAAAAAAGGACCCAGGTTAAAACTCAGCATAGAATTTTATGTGAATTTGAATCATGTGGTTTTGAAATGATGTAACACAGACATATTAACCATGTTACTTCATGGACCTCATTTGAAAAATATGAAATCCTATTGTACATTCATTTCTATGGGAAAGTTAGATTAGGCAAGTGCTGAATTATGCAAGGTCACCAGAAAGTCATCCTTGAAAAGCTGGCATCAGGTGCCAAAGTGCTGTATCACTGCCACTAGAAGGGAGTGCCAGAACCAGGGTTTTTCTTCAATTATTTGTTCATTTTGTAAACATAGGAGTGATGCCTTTGGTGAGACCTGTCTGTATGGAAAATTTTAAAAATTAGCCAGGTGTGGTGGCACGCACCTGTAGTCCCAGCTACTCAGGAGACTGAGGCAAGACGATCACTTGAGCCAGAAGTTCAAGGCTGCAGTAAGCCATGACTGTGCCACTGTACTCCCTCCTGGATGACGGAGGAAACCATGTCTCCAAAAAGAAACAACTAAAAAATAGTTATGCTTAGCTGGGCGTGGTGGTGTGTGCCTATAATCCCAGCTACTCAGGAGGCTGAGGCAGGAGATCGCTTGAACCCAGGAGGTAGAAGTTGCAGTCAGCTGAGATCACGCCACTGCACTCTAGCCTGAACGACAGAGGAAACCATGTCTCAAAAAAACCAGTTATGCTTAGCCGGGCATGGTGGTGTGCACCTGTAATCCCAGCTACTCGGGAGGCTGAGGCAGGAGAATCACTTGAACCCAGGAGGCGGAGGTTGCAGTGAGCCTAGATCGAGAGCCACTGCACTCCAGCCTGGATGAGAGAGTGAGATTCCGTCTCAAAAATAAAAATAAAAAATAAATATGCTTTGATTTATTGGGTATAATGGAGAAATGAGATCAGAATTCTAATTTGGGCAATTAAATACACACACACACACACACACACACACACACACACACACAAACACACATGCACGTGTCTTATTCCTTAAACGCCCAACATGTTTTCCTTCTGAAAACATGCTTTCATGGCACCTTTAAGAGGATAAGCCACACATAATTGGTGGTGGTGGTTGTTTTAATCCAGGGCAAGAGTAGGAATGTCTTTTCTTTCCCTGTGTTCTGCCCCAAGCGGTGCTAGCATCTGTACAGAGGGTTCCACCAGGGCAGCTTTGCTTTCCTGGTGAGAGTAGAGTGCAAATTGTATTCTTCCTCTTTCCTTGATTCCAAACTGCCAGCTGTCATCCCTCACCCCTCTGCAGACTCCTTCCAAGGCAGTGCCTCCCCCTCCCACGTGGCTTATTTTCACCAGCTGTAGACTGGATCACAGACAGAAAAGGCTTTCCAATGAGGAGAATAAAATGCAAAGTAGGCTGTCAGTTAAGGCCCCAGGGCTTCATCCATGGAAAGTGGCAGGCTTTTGGGAAAGGTATGTCAGCAGCCAGAGATGAGCTTTTGGGGGTGTGAGGGTGGATTTTACTCCATCTCAATAAAATAAAATAAAATAAAGATAATTTGAGACTATGTTTTTCATTAACTTTTAAAATCTGTACTGCAAATAGAACAACTTTCTACCCACAGTGAACTGCAAGGAAAGCTGTATCTTACAAAACTTCACAAAAGCCTTCAAAGAGTATTTCTCTGTGCCAATCTTCCTTTGCATATAAGGAGCCGGCAGCATTCTGAATGGGGCAGGTTTAGGATCAGGCCTCAGTCACCACATCTATAAGGTGAAGAAAAGAACAGGACCTATGCACAGGGCTGTCATGAGCAACTCACATGTGTCAAGTGTTTAGAAGAGCGCCTGGTACTCACTCTGTGCCAAATTAGTGTTTGTGAATAAAACAAATTTTCCTTAAGTTGCTACACACATTCAAAGACAGACTATGTAGCTCTGCTTTTGCCAGTTGTTCGTGCAAGAGCAAAGCCATTAAGTCATGTCTCTTATCTATTTGTTTACGGAAAACAAAACAAAATACCTGAGTGTACTTGTGTGCCAAGTACCATGTGAGGTGCTAAAGGCATCAACTCAGGCAGCACTCAGGGGTGGGCTCCCAACACATCATCATATTACCTGCTTTGTTGAGAAAGTTTATTCTTTTTAAAACTCAGGCCGGGTGCGGTGGCTCATGCCTGTAATCCCAGCACTTTGAGAGGACAAGGCGGGTGGATTACCCGAGGTCAGGAGTTCGAGACCAGCCGGACCAACATGGTGAAACCCCGTCTCTACTAAAAATACAAAATTAGCCGGGTGTGGTGGTGCATGCCTGTAATCTCAGCTACTTGGGAGGCTGAGGCAGGAGAATCGATTGAACCCAGGAGGCAGAGGTTGCAGTGAGCTGAGATTGTGCCATTGCACTCCAGCCTGGGCAACAAGAGCGAAACTCTGTCTAAAAAAGACACAAAACTCTGGTGGTTCATTTTGACACAAGTAAAAAATATTTGAAGATGACAAGAAGCCTGATTAAAATTAATCTACTAATTAACAATGACCTTCATTCAGAAGAGTCCTTGAAGGATTTATAAATATTTCTAAACAAATTTCTGTATTCATTTCTATTTTAGCTAACATGACACATGAATGTGTGAGGTGTTAGTCTTTTTTTTTTTTTTTTGAGACGGAGTTTCGCTCTTGTTACCCAGGCTGGAGTGCAATGGCGCGATCTCGGCTCACCGCAACCTCCGCCTCCTGGGTTCAGGCAATTCTCCTGCCTCAGCCTCCTCAGTAGCTGGGATTACAGGCACGCGCCACCATGCCCAGCTAATTCTTGTATTTTTAGCAGAGGCGAGGTTTCACCTTGTTGACCAGGATGGTCTCGATCTCTTGACCTCGTGATCCACCCGCCTCAGCCTCCCACAGTGCTGGGATTACAGGCTTGAGCCACTGCGCCCGGCCTGAGGTGTTAGTCTTTAAAGAGTTTGAATACATATTTTTAAAATTAGAAAATAAACATGTGCTTGTCATAGCAAATCTGAAAATTCAGATGAGCGTATGGAAAAAATTAATGCTCCCACTACCCAGACCAGCTACAGTTAACCTTTTAGGAATTTCTTTGGTTATTTCATCATGCAGCAAGGTTTACTTACCAATATGTGATCATTTGTTATATGTACGTTTGTATGCCTAGATTAAATACACAGATTTGTTATATATAAATTTGTATACACAGATTAAATTTGGAGGGACAGTTCTGATACCAGCTCATGTTAGAAATTTTAGAAATATAGGATAGTGGAAAGAAAACTAAAACTCACCAGGTGTGGTGGCTCATGCCTGTAATCCCTGCACTTTGGGAGGCTGAGGTGGGAGGATGGCTTGAGCTCAGAAGTTCGAGACTAGCTTGGGCAACAGTGAAGTGAGACGCCTGTAATCCCAGCACTTTGGGAGGCCGAGGCAGTTGGATCACCTGGGGTCAGGAGTTCTAGACCAGTCTGGCCAACATGGTGAAATCCCTTCTCTACTAAAAATACGTTTAGCTGGCATAGTGGTGTGCTATTGCACTCCAGTGTGGGCAACAAGAGTTCAAAACTGCATCTCAAAAAAAAAAAAAAAAAAAATCCATGGAATGAAAAAAAAAATCAGCTGGAACGGCACCTTCCAGAGGTAACCGGTGCCCACATGTTGATATCGGTGTATTTTCTGATATCATGTTTCTAAGGAGAAAAATGTTAAGTATGCATTGCCTGTTCTGGTTTTTCAGTTTGGTCACCTGGGCTGATGACAGCTGCCCCCGAGGGCTCTAGGGGTCCCCCACCCTGCTTAAGAAAGAAACAAACAAAACTCTGGTGACTCCAGTCAGTCAATGTATGGTTTAAAAGATGTAGAAAATGTTGGTGAGGCATGGGTTTTTTTTAAATTATTATTATTTTGCTAGCTTTTTTTTTGAGACAGAGTCTTGCTGTCGCCCAGGCAGGAGTGAAATGGCGCGATCTCAGCTCACTGCAACCTCTGCCTCCTGGGTTCAAGTGATTTTCCTTCCTCAGCCTCCCGAGTAGCTTGGATGACAGGTGCCTGTCACTACGCTGGTCTAATTTTTGTAATTTTAGTAGAGACGGAGTTTCACCATGTTGGTCAGGCTGGTCTCGAACTCCTGTCCTCAACTGATCTGCCCACCTTGGCCTCCCAAAGTGCTGGGATTACAGGTGTGGGCCACCATACCTGGCCATCGCTAGATTATTTTAATGCTTGCTCCCTTACTCCCTATCCTCTCTAATTAATTAACAAGAAATTTAAACATTGCAAAAATGTCTGTTATGATTTAAAAAGGGGGAGGGGAAATACACTTTAATGTTTCCTTGCTGAGACACACTAAAGGCAGAAAAGGAGCGGGGACTGACGCCTGACCTAATGTCAGGAGGGCTGCTTTGACTACCTAAGTGCCGAAGGCACATGGAGAGAGATGACCCAGCTGGCTACTGGTCCCTTCCACCAAGCAACGAATAGCACATTCTCCACCTATGCTTCGGCTCTTAGAACTCAGAGGGAAGAAGGCCAGGTGCGGAGGCAGGAGTTCAAGACCAGCCTGGACAACATGGTGAAACTCCGTCTCTACTAAAAATGCAAAAATTAGCCGGGCGTGAGTGGCACATGCCTGTAATTCTAGCTACTCAGGAGGCTGACGCAGGATAATTGCTTGAACCTGGGAGGCGGAGGTTGCAGTGAGCTGAGATCACGCCACTGCACTCTGGCCTGGGTGACAGAGTGAGACTCTGTCTCAGAAAAAAAAAAAAAAAAAAGGAGCTCAGGGGGAAGGATAATCTGCTCAGTCCTGACTGGCCTGATCCTAAACCTGCCCCATTCAGAACCCTGCTGTACATGCAAAGGAAAGTTAGCACTGAGAAAACACTCTTTGAAGGCGTTTGTGACGTTTTGTAAGATACAACTTTCCCTGCAGTTCAGCATGGGTAGAAAGTTGCTCTGTTCTGCAGAATCGATTTTAAAAGTTAATGATAAGCATAGTCTCAAATTATGTTTTTTATTTTATTTTATTTTTTTGAGATGGACTCTCACTCTGTTGCCCAGGCTGGAGTGCAGTGGTGCAATCTTGGCTCACTGCAACCTCTGCCTTCCAGGTTCAAGCGATTCTCCTTCCTCAACCTTGTTAGTAGCTGAGATTATAGACGCACACCAGCATGCATGGCTAATTTTTGTATTTTTAGTAGAGACAAGATTTCACCATGTTGGCCAAGCTGATCTTGAACTCCTGACCTCAGATAATCCACCCACCTTGGCTTCCCAAAGTGCTCGAATTACAGGCATGAGCCACCACGCCGGCCTCAGATTATCTTTAGCCACACTAGCTATCAGCCCAGATATCTTTAGAAATCAATCATTTACCTGGAAGGGGATCTGCAGTGCTATCTGGAAAGCCATTTTCTTCTCCCTAAAAACCAAAAAGCAACCTTCATTAAAATCATATCCATATGTGAATGGAGATATTATCCATTTTCCAACTTAGTTAAATTTCCACCAAAACCCAGGGGCTGGGGTGGGTGGGGCACCGGATCTTCAGAATGGTATTGGTGGGAAGCGAGCCCAGCATGTCCTCTAGAATCCGAGCACTTGAGCACAGGGGCTTTTGTTTTTTTGCTCCCTGTGCTCTCCCAGTGCCCAGAACGGTGCTTGATGCACAGTAGACACTCAAATTTGCTGAATACACTAGTGTCCCTATTTTCAAAAATTATCAGCTGAGCACCATCGCTGGTGCCTGCAGCCCCAACTACTTGGGTGGCTGAGATGAGAGGATCACATGAGCCCAGGCGTTGGAGGCTGCGGTCAGCTATGATTGAGCCACTGTGCTTCAGCCTGGAAGAAAAGCAAATTCTCAAAGGAAAAAAAAAGGGTATCAGTGCTTGCAACAATGCACTATTTTTATTTTACATTATGGGTTATCTTCCTTATTTTATTTCTTATCTGCTTTTTGTTGGGCTTGCTGTCTGCCAGCCCAGGCTACAATTCTTTCCCTTTTCTATTTATTTCAGTACATATTGCAAAGCAGCTAAAACAAAGTGTGAAAAAGTGGTGTCCAAATCTCTTGAGAGGCATCGTGTTTCTGCCGTTCTGACTGAGGTTCTATTTTTACAATCAGGGCCATGCTACAGGGATATGGGGGTTTACTCTGATCTTGGAGGGGGGCATGTGTGTGCGCGCTTCCCTTGAAGTCAGCAGTGGAGACCAGGCCCAGTAAACCTTCATTTATGTTAACCCCATCTTTCTACAACCTAAATCTTTCTCATCAGCTAATGTCACCCCCTCCATCCACATTACTGAAGAAACGAGTCAAAAGCCCTGGGTTTTAGAACCTCAGGCACGGTGCCAATGCTGGTCTCAGATTCCCCATTTGTGTATTGAGGTGGCTGTGGAATTAGCTCAGCTCTAAGTTATCTCTATTTTCTTGGGTCTGAGAGTTTCACCTGAAAAGATGTGCTGACTCCATGGTGTCAATGTGTTTTAAGCATTTTAAACAATCTCTAAATCTTCTTAGAGAAGCCTTTCTCCTCATCCCAAGCTCATCCATCCCCATGTCTTAGCAGTGTAAATACTTTCACCTTCACCTAACCTCAAGCCTAGATTTTTTTTATTAAAAGTGTGGGAAACTGCAACGTATAGACACTCTTACACTTTGTGTGTGTGTGTGTCTGTGTGTGTGTGTGTGTGTCAGAGAGAGTGAGAGAGAAAGAAACAGATGAAGAGACAGAAAGAGAGAATTACAGTGAGTCTCAGGATGGATAGAAATCTCCCTCTATGCAACGTTTTGTTTTGCTCAAGGCTGAACCCAGAAGCCCTCGATGTTAGGGACCCTAGTCATTACTCCGCAGGCCACGTGGAGCCTGCCTTTTCGCATCGGCAGCACCCCTGCAGGTCAGGCAGGTATGTGGGCTCTTTTTATCAACACAGTCGTTCTGCTCACTGAATTGGAAACTTGGGCTGAGGAAACAGAAACAGGAACTTCAGGTACTGTCGAGAAATATGAATGTTAGAACTTGACAGATTTTGTGGTATTTGAGGTTCCTGCTAAGGCATGAACGTGACTATAAGTAGAAACTACGTTACTTGGCATATTTGACTTGATTCCTCATAATCTGGAGAGAATTTTACCAAGGTCAATGTCTGGCCATAATCATCCCCGTGATGCAGACAGGGAATATGAATTACTTGTGAAAGCTGACAAAGACAGAATTTAGATTAATATGCAAGATCTTTGTTCTTGGCTCTGACTTGTACTACTTTGTAGGTTTGTTTTCTAAGAGTGAAAAAGGAACACACTGATTTTTGTATGTTTTACAGTCTTACTGAAATCATACGCATGCCTTTATTCAACATCTATTTATTGAGCAGCTAATATGTAAAAGCCCCCATACTGCAATGTATAGACAAAGATAAAAGTGCCTTAAGCCTTGACCTCAAGATATTCTGGGGAAATAGAAACCACTTAAACAACTAAAATCCAAGGCACAAGATAGTGAATTCCAAGAGGCGGGTACAGATGAAGTCAGAGAGGAAAGGTGTCTTCTGATGAAAAAAATCAGAGGCAGTTTCTTGGAGATAGGCATGTTTGAGATGGACCCGGCTGAAATCCGAGCAGTGGGGACCTGGGAGGAAGGGACATTTAGTCTTAAGCAAAGGCAACAAGAGGGGCAAGAGGGAGAGGACTCAGAAATCCGGCTGGAAGCTAAGAAAAACAAGCAAAACAAAAAGAAGGAGCTGAGACGGGTGAACAGACTGAGGCCTGTCCAAGGAGCAGGACGTCATTTCAGGAACCGGGAGCCACTGAGGAGCTGTCGTCTGAAGCAGCATATCCTCAGAAATATGAGGATCTGAGACCCACGCAGGAAATACCCGCCTGGCTACAGTGTAGGACACATGGGGAAATGAGACAGTGTAGAGACGAGGGACAGAGAAGCAAGGAGAATGACATGAGGAAGGATTAATGAGATTCCGCACCACTCCTCCAGGAGAGCGGAGGATGAAACGAGAGCCACTGCAGAGATGTGATCACTGGGGAAGACGTGAATGGAGATGCAGAGTAAGCTGTGAAGAGGTGATGGAGAAGACAGCAAAGCCAGGCTCACACACAAGCTTGAGATGCCCATGGGAGCTGAAAGCATGGTCCTGGTCCCTGGGAGAGCCAGGGCAGGAGACAAAAGTAAGGATGGTGAAGTGATTATGAAAGAAATAACTGGGAGGGAAGAGACAGCAGTGAGGTCACAACCTTGAGAAGGACCTGAGAAGGACACTTCAGTGGCAGAGGAAGGAACAAAAGTCAGCAGGGAAAGGAGGTCAGGGAGGGGAAGAAAAGCAGGGCAGCAGAATCAAAAGTTGTAGCAAATGGCCAGGCATGGTGGCTCATGTCTGTAATCCTAGCACTTTGGGAGGCCGAGGCAGGGGGATCATGAGGTCAGGAGTTTAAGTCCAGCCTGATCAACATGATGAAACCCTGTCTCGCCTAAAAATACAAAAAATTAGCCAGGCATGGTAGTGAGTGCCTGTGATCCCAGCTACTCAGGAGGCTGAGGCAGGAGAATCACTCGAACCCGGGAGGTGGAGGTTGCAGTGAGTCGAGATTGCACCACTGTACTCCAGCCTGGGCGACAGAGCGAGACTGTCTCAAAAACAACAACAACAAAAAAAAAAAAACGAACAAAAAAAACTTGCAGCAAGGGCCAGGCATGGTGGCTTGTGCTGTAGTGTCAGCACTTTGGGAAGGTATGGCAGGAGGATCTTGAGCCCAGGAATTCAAGGTTGCAGTGAACTGTCATTGAGTCACTGCACTCCAGCCCAGGTGACAGAGTGAGACTCCATCTCAAGAAAACAAAACAAAACAAAAAACACTTGCAGCAAGGCGATGGGCTCTGAGCACCAAGTGAAGACAAGATCTGGTGAGAAGGAGGCCAGAAGCAGTTCTAGAGGAGCGGTGGCCGGTTGACACCGGGTGGGCAGCAAGACCACGGAGATAACGAAGAACACGCGTCTGGTTGTGTCTGCCTGAAATGCCACCGTCCCCAGGCCTTTCATGTACTTAATTTCTCTTCTCTGTAAGGCCTTGGCTTAGACATCACTTCCTCTGGGACACCTTCTCCAAACGCCCAGTCTGAGTTCTGTGCCCTGGGCGTTCCCTAGGGACCCTGTCCATGCACCCCACAGAATGCCAGTTCCACTGGGCCTGGAGTGTATTCAAGGAGCAAGGGATGGACCTTGAAGATGAAAAGACACCATTTCTTTGCTGACGGGACAAAGAGGGAGAAGAACGGGGGCGAGTCTGGAGAAGTCTGGAGGGAGGGTGGAAATCCACTGGCCCAGCCTCCATGTCAGGGGATAGGAGGCAGAACTGGGGGATGGGGGCGGCTATTGTACAATGGGTACAGAATTTCGGTTTGGAAAGACAAAAACATTCTGGAGCCGGGTGGTGGTGATGGTTGCACAATACTGTGAATATACTTAATGCCACTGAGCTGGGCACCTAAAAAATGGTTAAAATGGGCCAGGTGCGGTGGCTTGCACCTATAATCCCAGCACTTGGGAGGCTGAGGCGGGCGGATCACCCGAGGTTGAAAGTTTGAGAGCACCCTTGCCAACATGGTGAAACCCTGTCTCTACTAAAAATACAAAATCAGCCAGGCGTGGTGGTGGGCACCTGTAATCCCTGCTATTCAGGAGACTGAGGCAGGAGAATCATTTGAACCCAGGAGGAAGAGGCTGCAGTGAGCCGAAATCGCGTCACTGCACTCCAGCTGGGTGACAGAGTTAAAAAAGGTTAAAATGGTAACTTTTATGTCATGCATATTTTACCACAATAAAACAATGTAAAAGTGTGCTCTCTCAAATGATGTGGGCAATAGAGAAGCCGGCATGCTTCACATGCTCTGTAGAGCCATGTGCCAGAATGACACGATACAAACACTTCCAAGGATATCAGAGAAGTGCCATGTGTATAACATTTATGAAACAGGAGAGATGGAAGAAATGCACCTGTAATCCCAGCACTTTGGGAGGCCGAGGCGGGTGGATCACCTGAGGTCACGAGTTTAAGACTAGCTTGGCCAACATGGTGAAACCTTGTCTCTACTAAAAATACAAAAATTAGCCAGGCATGGTGGTGGGCGCCTATAATCCCAGGTACTCCGGAGGCTGAGGCAGGAGAATTGCTTGAATCAGACGGTGGAGGTTGCAGCGAGCTGAGATCGTGCCAGTGCACTCCAGCTTGGGCAACAGACCAAGACTATGTCTCAAAAAAAAAAAAAGCAAAAAACAAAACTTTCTCATGTCACACAGTCAGCGAAACTCAAGCAATTTTCAGAGGTAAGAATTCCCAAGGCAAAGCTGGTATCTGTGTAACTCTTTGGAACACATTTACTGATGATCCATGTCTAAACATTAGTACCA